GAGATATCCGAATTCAGCAATCTTGATCTACCCGATCAGTTTTCATCACTTTGCTGATACCAGTGCAGGTGCTCATTAGAGACCAGAAAATTGTATCGTGCATTTTGAAGGAGTAACCTCACCACAGCTATTGGAAAGCGTTGGCATGAGGCAATCAGACGACGATTACTGTAAGCCAAGTGCAGTTGGTGGCAACAAAGAGCAATACTGTAAAAATGATGGAGTATGCTATAGCACCAACGACGGTCCAAAATGTGACTGTTCGCTGTCGGATTTTGATGGTCGTCGATGTGAGCAAGGTATAGAGCATATGTTCAGTTTCGCAGAGATTACACGCCGAACAACACATAGTTTCTGAAATTTCAAGTTCTCGAATCGAGATCACTGATTAAAGTCTGCGCTGTTTTCGGCCAAATCGGATGTGTTTTTACAACAGTGAGCAACTAAGCCAACTGAACTTATCTGTTAAAGTTTGAAATATTTCACACCATAAACGTCGAGCATCCTCCTATGATGATCATATCTTTATGGTTGACTTTTCAGTGAGGCTGGACGCCGAACTGTCGTTTTTTGGAAACGAATGGCTAGGGTATGATGTCAGTAACAACTCGGCAGCGACAATAAGATCTCGCTTTGAGAATATCAGTTTTGCTTTCAAAACAATTCAAGGACGCCAAACGCTTTTTTTCAGCGGAGATCAACTCGTAGGTTTTACGCTTTTATCGTCACTGCAATCGCTCTCGATAACCAGTAGTCATTGTGTTCTGCCGAAGTGTTTTCATTTCGTATTATGTTGTATTACATATTATCCATTTTGGGATGAAATGAGAAAGCTTGATGGATGGATTGCTCAGAATCACAACCAAATTATCGTCAAATTCTCATTCCACCAGCCTAATTTGATGCTGCTATTAGCCGCGACTCAAACAGCTGGAATCTGGATTGCGTCGGGAAATTAGAGCTTGAATATTGGTTTAGCGTTTAGTGAGCTTTTTTCGCGTTCAGAATTACGTCTATGTAACAATTG